CAGTGACCATTTGTGAAATTAACCGTTAAGTGAATTCCCAACAGTATATTCATTTGTCAATTTTAGTGTAAAATATATTTCTTTTTCTTCTATATATTTAAATTTCATTTCTTTTCATATGATTTAGGCAGTTAGGGGCGTGTTTACCTGGATTTTTAGAGAGGATCAGATTCAACAGAAGTTTCTTCCTGATTTCTTGGGCATGAGTCACCTTACAAAGGAAAAATGCGTGTTCCTTAACACCCTTTATACTGAAGGTTAAGGGCTCAGCTCCAAAAGCAATGACAAGCTTGTCATACGCAACTTTAAATTGGTAAGGTTCATGAGAAAGTCCACCATCACAAATGGCCTTGCAATACACCTGATTAAGTTAGACAATTTATATGTCAAGACATTGAACTTCATCATCAAGGAAGGAACCATCAAAATGCAATGGATATTATAATAATCTCTCTTTATAGCCCTGTTTGATGGTTATTATTTAGAAAAAAAATGATGTTTTGAATAGTTATTTTTTGGAGAATGTGTAGTTAAAAAGTAGGGAAAAGTTTTGGGTTTAGATGTAAAATATTTTATTGTATGAATGTATGGTTGAAAATGAGTATAAGAATAAGTTTTGGCTTAATGGGAGAAACAAACAATTTATATGTGCATAAGTTACTCATAGAAACTTGCTTAGTAGAAACCAGATAATTGGAAACTTGTTTGATTCATCGAAGTGACTAAATGCTGCTACTCACTTCATGCTTGTCTGTGTTCACTCCACTGCATGAAGCTAGAAAGAAATAAGAATTGGGATCCTTTGCTAGTGTAGTTTGTATCCTACTGACCGGCTCAGCAACTGATCGGAATTCCAGAGTTCCAACACAAGTTGAGGCAAGCAGGGGTGTGAATACCATATGATTCCTCGGTGACATGCAAATGACTTCATAAACCTTGGTGTCGAGCCCTTTGAGGAATCTACATGCTGCCCATCCACTACCAAGAACTTCTACTCTAGGCTTTTCACCAAGCTTTGTGGCTTCTAGGGTAGGATATTGTGGCTTTCTTTCTCTGAATCAGATTCCTCCACAACTATTTGTGCAAGAGAAAATTTATGTTGTGGTGTCACCAGTGGTGGATCCAAGATTTTGATTCAGCACGGGCGATTGTTGACCGTAGACCGTTGGCAGCAATAAAATATTAAGAGCCCCGTTTAATGCCCATTTTTTTTGCAAAAAATGTATTTTTAAATGGTGATTTGATGGAGAAAGGGTGGTTAAAAATAAGGGAAAGTTTTGAATTTGCATGTTGTTGGGAGTAAAAGAAGTCTCACATCGGCTAGACATGTGAAATATGATGGGTTTATAAATGTAGGACAATACTCCATTGGTATGAGGTCTTTTGAGTAGTATCCAAAAGCAAATTCGTGAGGGCCCATGCCCAAAGCGAACAATGTCATACCAATGTAGAGTTTAGCGGGTCCTAGCACATGTAATATTATTTTATTGAAAAATATGTGGTTGAAAAGAAGAGAGAAAAATGTATTTTGAAAAAATGGGAATCGAACAAGGTCTAAAATTTAAATATAACAATTATTTTGTTCAAACTAAACATATATAATTCTATTGTACAAATTAGCAATATTCCCCAAATGATCTTGTGGCTAAGTTTAGTAAAATTTAAAGGAAGAGCATGGATTATAATTTTTTACAATTGCATTAAAACCTCTAAAATGTAACATATATTATTCTAGTATATTTAGTGCCAAATTCAACAATGCACAACGGTGAAGCTTCAGTAATCTGAATGGGAGCTCAGGGGTTTGATTCTCTTCTCTATTCCAATGATTTTAGTAAAAATTTTAAAATTAAAAATATTTCACAATAATCCGATTGGGAAGGGATTTGAAAACGAGACTTCAAGTATGAACACGAGAGTCCTAACCAACTGAGCTATAAGAAATGTTTGAAATTGAAATGAATCACCAGTTATATAAACTAAAAATCTTATTAATTGTCAACAAAAAAAAAAACTGTTGCCGGCGGATCCAGTAAGCGCTGTCGCCGGGGCTAGCCGGGTGCTGGGTCTGCCACTGGGTGTCACACGCATTCCCCTGCTTCCAGAACTGTTACAATCTGCCTTTCTAATGCTAAATACATTGCTGCAAACAGTGACATTTTCAGTAAAAGGTTAATAGCACTCACAAGCAGATTCTCCACCGCACAATTGATACCTCCCGGTAGCATTTTTGCCAATGGCACCTGAGGATCGTTTGAAACAACCGTGTCTTGCTATTCTTGCCAGTGCCATGTTGAGAGTAACTGCCGATACCCTCAATATATGTTGAAGAGATTAAGCAGGTTCAAATAGTCTATCACCTCTATAGTACCGCTGTGATAAACTCTCCGTGCACCACGGAGAGAC